ACTGGTGAAAAAGAGTCAGAAATAGGGCTGGGTATTTTCACCAGAATCAATTCGATTTTGATTCATGCAGTTCTAAATCGATTAATTTCGATTCAATCTGCTTTTACAATAATGAAAGTGGTTCAACTGTGTTTCAAAATACTCATGTATGTATAAACACAAAGTGCAAACTTGAAAATCAGACGGTTTAAACATGAGATGTGAACTAAACTGTCTCAAAAGTGCAAACTTGCAGACGTGACACAGCAGACATTCATGAGCTGCATTACCTCCACTGCACAAACCATATTTGCAACGTCTTCAGTCAAGGTATTGGGTATATTTGCAGCTGTCTGGCTTGAAGTAATCTTGAGTGCATCTTTCCTGCTTATTTGAATGTAAACGTCACGTGGGTCACTATAAAGTGAATCGATCTCGTTCCCTAGACATCGATTTTGCAAAAATGTAAAGGAATCTATTAAAAATTGATTTTTTTTACCCAGCCCTAGTCAGAAAAGATGAGGGGAAAAATGTCAGTGGCCTCCACCTGTAAAACCATTCCTGTTTTGATGGTCGTCTCGTTGTTGCCCCTCTAGTTCACCTGTTATTAATTTTATTAACACCAAAGCAGCTGAAACTGATTAACAACCCCCTCTGCTACTTACCTGACCAAATCAATATCCCAGAAGTTTAATTTACTTGATGCTAAATTGATTACAAAGTGTTCTTTTAATTTTTTTTTGGAGTAGTGTACCAACAGAGGACCCAGATTATGATCCAAGAGCAAAACAAGTCTGTTTAACAAAATAAGGAAAATCTAAAGTAACTCCAAAGCAATGATGCAGTTCAGGAAACCTCAGACACGCTGGAAAGTGGTTCCCATACTCTATCCAATGGTAAACATCACGATTGCTGCTTCTGCAGAACAAAAAACACCAAACAGCATAAATTCCTTTAGAACAATTTATTTTATACAGTAAAACCAGTTTAGGTTACACTCGCTGAGGAGGACAGCAAAATATAAATTTACACAGACCCAGAATCGCTGCAGAGTTAAGAGGCCGACCCAAACATGAGCCTCAGCATGGAGCATCATTCATCCAGAGATTGCTAATCATCAACCTTATCAGTCTACTGTGACAAAGCAACAAGATGCAAAGATGTGAGACGTCACGTCTCACAGATCGATCAAATGAATGGAGAGGGGTGCGTTCAAGAACGCCACAGATGTCAAACCTCCACCAGGATGCGTTTTACCACAGCTGGTTCTACCTTCCTGTTTTTTTTATATAACTAAAATCAACATTATACATAAACCTTCAGCTCTCCAACCCTCATAACAGTTGTGTTAATACGATGACCCTGGGTCGCTCGCTGTGGGGTTATTGAACGCACCCCTCTCTTCTTCAGGCCTAGGTTGGGGCAATGTTTGTTTTCCTTTACTTGGGAGGCCTGTAGGCGATCTTCCTGCTCTTCAGCACCGACCATCTGTGTCGCTTCATGTAGTAGAGCAGAGGGACGAGGATGGCGGCGCCCATCAGCAGCTAGTAGGACAAAAAGGAGCGAAAAGGTCAACAAAAGGCATGAAAAGCAGTTTCCTATGTGTGTTTCATTTGTTTGAGTCCATCCGTCTAATGATGAATAAAAACTGATCTTAAAAGAAGTGAAAATCTATTGAAAAAAATTTGTATCTGCTCTTAATTTGAGCAGGAGAAAAAGAATAAAATGAGAGAAAGGTCATTATATTTTATGCTCTTGATATTTAATGATTATTTTTTATCATTTTAGACATAAGTCATGTCTTTCCATTCAATCATTTTTTCCTTACCTGCTCTAAACTAGAGAAACACTTAATTTCAGAAAACATCTTAAGTTACTATGTTGTTTTTTTAAACAATACTTATGGATATAAAGACTCAGACACATTAGACACATAATAAACAGGGAGGATAAACAAAAACTGATCTAAAAATAAGTACTAATTCCTTAAAATGGGAGAATTCGCTATTAATTTGAGAAGGTAAAAAAAAAAATATATAGTTTTCATATTTAAAACATAATGTTATTTTACTGCTAAACTGTCTTACTTGCTCAAATTGAGGGAAAAATACACTCCAAGAAGAATATATTTCTTATATTAAACCTTCTTCAGAGTAATTTCTCTGAACAGTTTTTTATTTTGCTGGTTTAAAAGTGACGCGTACCTTCAGTCCCATCCGTTTACGTTGGTCGTGCTCCGGCTCGGCGGCCCACCTCAGGAAGGTGCAAACATCTTTAGCCACCTGACTCATGGTGGCCGGAGTTCCTATTAGCACAGATAGAAACCGTCAGCATTAAAGACGGGGTGGGATTTCTCCTCTTCTGCAGCACGCCTTCTGTTATCCTTACCGTCTTCATACTCCAGGACCTCGTTGTAAATGGGCGGAGCCATGCCGATAGCCTGACCGGGGAAGTAGGGGTTGTAATAGAGTCCTTCTCTCACTGAGACTCCAGCAGGGGGGTCGCAGTAACCCGTCAACAGGCTGAAGATGTAGTCCTCACCTCCATGTCTGCGGGGGAGGGGGGGCAGAGGTGAGCATCAGGGAGGATTTCAACACGGCGTCCTGTGTGTGTTTCAGGACGTACCTGGCGTTGACGATGTAGCTGAGGTCAGGCGGTAGAGCGCCGTTGTTGGCGGCGCGGGCGGCTTCAGGGTTGGGGTACGGCTTTGGGAAGTAGTCTGAAAGCTTTCCTGGTCTGGTGAACATCTCGCCGTTCTCATCAGGACCGTCGACTACCTCAACCTAAACACCCGACAGAAGGAGGTCAGTCTAATCGGCTCCTGCAGCGATGGCAGGAACTGTCAGGTGGTGCCATCTAGTGGCAGAACTTAGTATCAACAGTTGGACAGCATTAATGCAGGTTGCTAGAAGGTGATGTGATCCAGCAGCCTCACCTCCTCAGCGATGGCCTTAACCTCGTCCTCCGTGTGCGAAACGCCAACCAGGTTTCTAAAGGCCAGGTACTCCATACTGTGGCAGGCGGAACACACCTGCTTATACACCTGGTAACCACGGCGAATACTGCAATGCAAGGATGAAAGGAGAGACAAGTGTTCAAATGTGACCATCAAGCATAAACAACATTTAGCAGCTTTCTGTTCCAAAAAAATCCCCCAATTTCCAACAAAGGCCGTGGCTGGTAATGCACTGCCGACACGACTTATTTATTGTAAAAGCAAAGACATAATAATTACTGAAAATGCCTTGGGACTTAAAACGAAAAAT